AAATTAACATAATAGCACGTACATCAAGAAATCGAAAACAGACTCTCATACAAAGGGTCAAGCTTATGCGTGTCATTCTGGAGATTCAATCCCTGCTTTTGTTTTTTAATATGGATCATTTCAGATACCATTCTCTTGTTCCAGAACTTTCCCTGTCTAAAATTTTAATGTTTTCCCAGTCAAAATCGCAATGATAACCCACAAATAATCTTTACCAATGCAGATAAAGGTAATGTGGTAGTAGCATTGGATAGGGATGAATATATTAGAGATATGGAGTTGCTGTTCTCCGATTCGCAAACATACACAAAGCTTAAACGCAATCCCATCAACATGATTATTACGAATCTTTTGTCATTATTAAGATGTTGGAAGCGCCACGAGTTGATTTCAGATTCTACTTATAAATATCTTTATTCGACTAATAAGATTTGTCCAAGGGCATATGGCTTGAAAAAGATTCATAAATTGGGTTATCCTCTGCGTGTCATTGTTTCGTCCACTGGCAGTTCTCTTCACAATTTAGCTTCCTTTTTACATAAAATTTTACATGATAGTCTAACACGCGCGAGAAGTTTTATTGATAATAGTTACAGATTGACTGAAGCTATTAGTTCATTGACGGTTACTGACGCATCGGTTTTTTTATCTCTTGACGTCACCTCGCTTTTTACGAATGTTCCTGTGGACCTTGCGATTGAAATACTTTTGACAAAGTGGGAAAGCATAAAACATAATACTAATATTCCTAAGACTGAATTTTTTAAATCTCTAAAATTAGTTCTCAGCTCGTCGTGTTTTACGTTTAATGACTGCTATTATAAACAGACTTTTGGAGTACCAATGGGGTCCCCACTGTCTCCCATAGTTGCGGAATCGTGATGCAGGAACTGGAGACTTTTTCGCTTGGCAGATTGTCGGTGATGCCGTCTTTCTATACAAGATATGTCGACGATATATTGTTGATTACTGAATCGTCTGACTATAAAGAAATTTTGGATACATTTAATTCCTTTCACCCTCGCTTAAAAAAGTTTACTATGGAAGAGGGAGGGGCCTCTATAAACTTTTTGGATGTCACCCTAATAAAAGAGGGTAATCACGTGATCACAGATTGGTACAGGAAACCGACATTTTCAGGTTAGGTTTCTGAATTTCTTTTCTTGCCATCCTTTAAATAAAAAAATTGGTACCATTATAGGTTTAACAAACAGAATCATTTTATTGTCCCATCCAAAATTCCATAAAATTAACTTCGATTTTATCATTAAAATCTTATTGAGTAATGGATACCCCTTAAAATTAATTCTTTTAACCATTATATAGCAAATTCCGAAAACCAAATTATAGAAATATTTCTTCACACCAAAAACCTTCTCCTGATAAAAAAACATTTTTTGTAATTCCTTATATTCCATCTATCTCGGAAAAAATAAAAAACTTCATCAAAAAAATTCCAGGAATGAGTATAGCATATAGGGGTATCCAAAAATTAGGTGCATTCATTAAAGTACAGAAGGACAATTTACCGACGGTGTCTCAGGCTGAGGTGGTTTACAGATTGAATTGCAAGGAATGTGATGCTTTATATGTGGGACAGACCGGTAGATGCGTGGGTGTACGTATGACAGAACACAGAAATCATATCAATCGAAATACTTCTCAATCTTCTGTTATTACCGAACACAGATTACAGACTACTCACGATTTTGACTGGGAAAACATTAAAATTTTAGACAGGGAAAAGTTCTGGAACAAGAGAATGGTATCTGAAATGATCCACATTAAAAAACAAAAGCAGGGATTGAATCTCCAGAATGACACGCATAAGCTTGACCCTTTGTATGAGAGTCTGTTTTCGATTTCTTGATGTACGTGCTATTATGTTAATTTATACAATCGTTTTGACTACATATGTGAATTTTAATTGTATTTCTGACTATATTCTGTTTTGTCAACGTTTTACTCTCTTTTTCTTTATATTTTTAAATCTAATCCGTATACATCACTGTTATTGACATGTTTTCTGTTTGCGTCTTGTCAGTGTGACTTTAAATAAAAGTAAAAATATCTCGCATTAACAATCGAGACTTCGAGTGGTAGAGTCATTTCAAGCATCATGTCTTGTAAGCCGTTTTCTGTTTTAATATAATATTTCAGTGACCTTTTCTTGGCTTCAATTTTCAAATTTTAGTTATTTTATTTTTATTACATGTGCAGTGATTTATCAGTCTTTGACAGGACGCATCTTTGAAATTACGTCAACCGTATTTCTCTGATATAGTTTTTGACATGTAAGTTTTTCGATTTACTTTTCTCGACTAATTTGGTTTTGACTTCCACATAAAATTTTATAAGCGAAATTCTTTAAACATTTTGTTCATTATTTTTCATAGCAATTTTGCCAAACTGTTTGTCATGCTAATGTTATGGACACAATCTACGCGATGATCTTAATTTGATTTTCAACTGTTTGATAATTTTCTCATCTATATTGGTACTGAAGAGGACCCAAACAAGAGGGTCGAAACGTTTACCTATACTAGTTTTTTATATTATATTATATGGTTTTTTACCAATAAATGTATTTTTTACACATAAGAACTGTGTCGGCTCTAATAGGCAATATTTATTTGTTAGATTAAACATATTACTCAGTTTTCAAAATGATTCATGCCCACCATTCCTTCCTATTATCTTTTTTTTTCAACTCCAAGTTAGTCGATAAGGAAGCGCGCTTGACTTTTTTTTATTAATAAAAAAAATTTATCATAATTGATTGATTGATTGATTGATTAGTCATATCATTAAAAATCGTAAATTTATATTTCATTAAATTGCGTGCTAAAAGAACAATAGGATAAATATGGGACCACAACGAGTAGGAGAGAGAGAGAGAGAACAACGGGGAGGAAGAGAGAGCGTGAATAATAGGACCGCAACGGGTGAGACAGAGAGAACTGCATTCTATAACGGGTGGGAGAGAGAAGGAACAAAATCTCCTCTCCCCCTCCCCTGTGACATACTGTGAGCGTCTGTACACTTCCCCCTCCCTGACCTCACACACACACATACATACCGCATATACGTATACGCACTAACACATAGTGGATTAGAACTGGTCTATCTTACCTACTTACGCATTTCCTTTCGTATTTCCCTTCGTATGGATAGTATCAAATAAACATCTCGTATGATAGCACTTAACGTATTGAGTCTGGCGTGTAAATCCTTATAGTGCATTTCTCTAATCAACAACGTGGAAAATGGATGGTTTGAGGGAAGGATAACCGGGAAACGTTGGTCATAAACTAAATTTAGCGTTTTTCAATTGACCGCCCACTTGTAAAATTCCTTCATCATCCAGAAAAGAGTTCAGGCATAAGATACTGCTGTTGCGAGATATTTTTGCCTCCCTCTTGCTGAGGTTTTCTATCTCGAGAGGAAATGCTTGGCGTTGAGTCATTCTTATCAGAATCATGTTAGCCTTTCTTAAGTCATCTGCTTGCAAGGCTCTAGTATTACTCTGCGATGCGTTTCTACGACAGTTTTGAATAAACTTATTGCAATAAGCAATTACTCATCGCAGTTTGGATAACGACGAGAATCTCTCCAGCAGATTGCATTCTTCGCTATAATTAGCAACTAAAATATATTTCTTAGAATTTTCTTCCATTGGCTTCGGCTCTTCCGGAATAACTTCATCTAGCTTCATTGATCTGAGTTAGTTCTCAGCCAGTAAGGGCCTGACCACCACATTTCTGATCTCGGCAATTCTTTTGGATCGATTCCCCGTGATAGGATATCCGCAGGATTAAACTAAATTCTCACGTGTCTCCAATCATTCGAACGCGTCAGACTTTGGATTTCTGCCACTCTATTAGCTACAAACACCTCGTATTTGTCCGGTTCGCCTCGAATGAATGACGATGCTAGAGTCACTCCAATAAATACACCGTTGAATAGACTGTGTGACTTTCCTTGTTTTGTATGCAAGCTTGGCCAGCAGTACTGCACTACACAGCTCAAGTCTAGGGATCGACAAGATCTTCAAGAGAGCTATTCGAGACTTCGATACGAAAAGTCTAAAGCTTCTGTTCTCCTGTGCATCTAATGAGTACAAATAGATGCACGCGCCGTAGACTAATTGGAAAGCGTCACAAAATCCGTGCATCTCTGAACGGCGTTTGGTAATACGACTTGTGGTATTTTTACTTCCTCCATAACTTCCAATTTCTCTCTATATGAGTTCCATTCGATCAATAACTCATGCGGTATTTTATCGTCCCAGCTTATATTCAATTTCCACAAGCTTCTCATAAACAACTTAGCTCTTACCACTATTGGTCCGAAGAGACCCAACGGGTCATATATTTGCGTTATAACCGATAGAATATTCCTTTTTGTTTGGCAAGCCGTTGTGGGAATCATTACTTTAAATTTGAAGATATCCTCACGCGAATTCCAGCGATTTCCGAGGGTTTTAACTTCTTCGCCACAGGTAAGCGATGTCTCTGTTCCTTCTTCTATCAACAGGTCAGTTACGTTTGAATTCCATTTTTAGAGCTCCTTGCCGGCTGTTGCGAAAATTTGAGTCACATCCTTTCGTAGCTGATGCAATCGAAATAGAATTAGTCCCTGATATTAGGTCATCCATATAAAAATAATTTGCTATTATGGAAGATGCCTCTGTATAGCGTGTTGCGTTGTCGATAGCCAACTGTTTAATACATTTTTGCGCTAGATAGGGAGCTGATGCGGTTTCATACGTTACCGTCGTGAGTTCGTACTTGCGTATTAACTCTTCCTCATTTTTCCTCCAAACCATTCTCTGAATACTTTATCCTCTTTGACCATTCTAATTTGACGAAATATTTTTAATATTTCCGCCGTTATAACATAGTTATATTGCCGAAATTTTAATAAGACCTCCATAAGATCCTTCTGTAAATTAGGTCCAATTCTCAATAGGTCGTTCAGCGATTTTCCCCCGATGACGTTTAGTAGGAGGCGTCGAACACCACTCTAAATTTGGTCGTCGAGCTCTCCTCCCTTGTGACTCCATGATGTGGCAAGTAGTTTACAACAGCTGGCTCTTCATTGTTTTCCGGTATTAGCTCCATGTGCACCATGTCCTTCTTGCATGAACTCCAAATATCGCTGATGGAATATCGGATCGTTCATAAATTTACGTTCGATTGTTTGGAGCCTTCTTACCGCTTTGTTCTCGGATGCTCTCTCTGCTTTGAGCTTCTTCTTTGAATGGTAAAGGTATCACAAATCTTCCTTCTTCGTCTCGGTAAGTGGTTGCTGCAAAATATTCCTCGCATGCTTGTTCCTCCGGAGTCAACTTTCGTTCGAGCTCACATCGTTCTATTGCCCAGAATTTCTCTAATTGCTCATCCAGATTCTCGTTCGATATTACGCAGATTTTAGTATCTGTTGTTCTTATAGGCGTATGTTTTCCGCCCAGCAGCCATCCGAGTTTGGTATTCTGGAACACTGGTTGTTCTTCGCTTTGTTGCTTTCTTCCTTGCTGTAGAATGCTCCAGAATACTAATGCACCAAGTAGCATGTCCACTTTGCGCCTCGTTAAATGTTGGATCAGCTAATTTAGAGAAGGGAATGCTTTCGGGAATCTGCAGTCGGAACAATTCAATTCGGTTTTCCGGGATTTTATTCGTTATCTGATCGATTATTGTAAAACTTAAAGATTTGGTGTATTTGCTAATCTTCGACTCTTGATCGTCGCCATTACTGTCTCGCTCGTTAACGTGGTGTTTCCACGAAAACCTGTAACTCTACTTGCAACACTTTCCGTTTTTAAACCTAATTTCTTAAGTAAGTCTGCTGTGATAAAGTTAAGGGTAGCAGCATTGTCCAATAGTGTACGCGCAGTGTGCAACTTTCCCTTGGCATCGATAATACATACGCATGCAGTTGATAAGAGAATTTCCGGGTTTGTATTTCTAGACGCACACGTTACTATGGAATCCGCAGTGGGATTTTGCTCCTCTGTTTTAGCTGCTACAGCTTTATTTTTGCTCGTGTTATCACTACCATTGAAATGTAATAAAGAATGATGCTTATTGCCGCAATGCTTACACCTACTAGACCTACAGTCCCGCACCAAGTGGTTTGTATTCGAACAATTTAAACAAAGTTTAAGCTTACGAGCTTCAGCTACTCTTGCTTGTACAGATAAATTCTTAAACGAATCACAAAGATAAACCTTGTGCTCATTCTTGCATACAGGGCAACTTTGTTTAGACTGTTTGGTGATGTGAGCTACGCCTTTACCCTTCTTAGCAGATTTTTCTCCCTGTATCATTACTGTTACGTCCGGGAGGACTCCACGATTTCCTCGTTTCGAGATTACCTAATAGGGTGATCGTTGAGACAGGATGTAAGAGAAAATGCGAGAGTTAACGGTCACCGATCGGCGAGCGTGACAATATGTAGAAAATATGTCGTTGAAAGCCTTCCCAACGATTTTGGAAAGATAATAAAAACGTAGATACCCAGGATCACCCGATAGTAGCAGTAATAAAATTTATGACAAATTACAGACCATACCGAGAATGTTCGTTTTGAAACACGTTCAGTTTAAATAAGAAATATCTAAAAACGGATCGGGAGAATCCTGGGTAAATAGAAAGTCGCATTCTCAAGCGCATGTAACGTGTTAAAGGGCGTCTTTTCGTTAACAACAGGAAATAGTAAAATAGAAATAGCTTGACAAGAATAAATTTTAATTTTTGCCGACGATCATAAAATCCTGAAGAAATACTGTCTAGACGAGAAGACGCACGTTCAAGCACCTATAATAAAAGAGAAATCGGAAATAAGAAAAAAAGGAGGAATGCGAGTTTTCAAATTGTCACGATCAGGTCGTTCGGAAGATACGATAAGTGAAATACCCCTTCTCTTCAGAGAGAATACCAAAAACTAAACTCGCCAATGGGTGACCGTGAATCTGAAAATCTAGAAAAGGTGGTAACGTATCACCAATAAGTTCTTAGGGGATTGAAACTTGCAATGCGGGCGGAGCAAATTTTGAAAGTAGTTACCAGTAAGAATATGAAACACAAATTTCCTACCAAAGCAGAAAATCTCTCCAACTTGAATCCTCGATTTTTCCCACTCAACATGTCTCATCAGAGAACCACCCTCTGAAACCCTCTATATAAACCGTGACACTGCGAGACTCGCTCTCTTCATTTTTTATCCTACTCTGAGTTCGGTTTTGAACAGTCATTCTCTCGCAGTTTTTTTGCTAAGATAAGAGTTGTTAAGTGCATAACTGAAGATCTTCCACATTACATCCAGTAAGAGTTGTCTGCGAGCTACTCGAAGTCCAGGAGACTAACCAGAGAACTTAAGATCATCAACAGTAAGTCTTTTCTTTCATATTCTTCTATTTTTTTTTAATCGCGAATCTGTAATAACGTAATTCACAACATAATGCCACGGAGGGGAAACAATCGCCCATTTAGAGGTTGGCTTAGAGGTTGATATCCCTGTATTCATCCCGAATTCCGCCTATCCATATCTAGTACCTATGGAGTTCTTCTTCAATCTTTTTCCTCCGTCCTCCGCTACTATACGCGAATTATAATGAAATAAAAACTCTCAGCACTGCTCATCTAAGATTCATTCTCTGGCGGCATGTACAACTACAATGTTAATAGCGTCTAGTGAACCAAAATCTTTGTAGTCTAATTGTAACCACGATTCGAATGGGAATACGATTCAAATGAAAATAATAATTTCACTTATGATGATAATTTCGGTTCGCCACACATTTTGATTATAATAATATCTTAATATTTTGTTTGTATTTACTATCTTTAGTTAATTTTAATAATGACTTGTATAATTTGTAACGATTTTTATGGTAATTTTAGTTCGTAATAATTCTCTTTATACGTAATCTTTCTTATTTTTCATTGCTTTCTCTACTATTAATAATTAGCTAATAATGTTTGATTTAAATAAATTATGTTAATAATTTTCATCTCTTTTATTCTCTTATTTTAAAACCCAGAGACCTCGTAGTCGTTAACCTTGCCTTTTCAGAGATCGCACGTGGTCCAGTCCCGAGTTAAAAGGATTAGATTCCTTGACTCAAAATTTGGACCTACGACCGTACCGTTCGTAGGAAACAGGTGTCAAAGCGTCCTTACGGGACGTTGACCCATATTCCGAAGCGAGCACAAAAAGATTGCATTCGACTTGCGGCACTCGCCTCCGTGCGGGTACCTGCGAGAAAAGAGTCTGACCGTCCTTCCAAGTACCCTCACCGTTCCCGCTCCTTTCATTCTCCGAGAGGATCACTAACAATTAAAAATTTTCCAAGGGTTTGGACGTAACATTACGCTATCCAATGTTTTTACGCTTTCTAATATGTTACACTTATCTTCTAAAAACGCAATGAAATACTTAGTTTGGTACTCCTTTTTACTGGTATGAACAGTTTTCTCTTCCCATTCGCGTGCTGTAACCGGGTCTAATCGAGTGAGAATCCATTCAATAATTAGCGGACACCACGTTTCTGTAGCATTCTTAAGTGCTTTCAAGGCCTCTAAATGTTGCTTTAGGCAGTCCGTCAGATTACGTAATTTACTGCTAGACTCCTTTTCTATTTATTTCAAATTAAAGATTGCACGCGCATGGTTCCTAGTTGCCAATCGCGAGTTATCGAAACAGCTTTTTAATAAGTTGATTGCTCTTGGATAGTTAGCTTTGTTTATTTCGAGAGATTCAATTATCTATATATAGTATTTTTTAAACTTGCACCTAATGCCGGCTGTAGGTAGAAAAATTTATGCACACTCGATAAATTATGACTTTGATCTACTAGAGCTGAGAATGTGCTATAAAAAGTCGGCCAATTTTCGTATGTTCCTTTAAACGTAGGGAGATCATTACAGGTGACCTAACGGCTGTACCTGCCGTTCTTTCGTTAACTATAGGTACGCTTTCTACTTCTACATTTACTCGCGGATGTGAATTCTCGTTTAAGATAAGCCGTGCCTTACTTACAATCGCAAAATAAGATTCTTCAAATTCTAATCGCTCAGTTCTTTGCTTTAATACAAATTGCTTATAGTCGTCTAATGCCTTGATCTGTGTTTGAATCTCGTCGTAGATATCCCATGATTTCTCAACTTTTTCCAGTCTAATACGAAACTGCGTCAGATTCTCTTTACTAACCAAGAATCCTCCGAGAAACGTGTCGAATTTGGTTAGTTGACCCTCTTTTTTTTGTGACGGAGGGGAAATGCCTGACGCATTCCCCGGACCTCGGGGGAGAGTTCGGGGATATGTGGGACTCGCACCCACTAAAACCCCTCCGGGTGTCCTTATTCGGGCCGTTGTTAGGGGGCGCCCAGGAACGCGTTCAGCATACTTCTGGGAGCCCCCTTAGCCCG